AGGATATCGCAGAAAGTGAGCAAGCCTGGCGCTGCATCACTTCCATTTCTTTCAGCTTTATACAAATCTTGTAGCCGTGCTTATTGGGCACCTTTTTTACTGCGGATATCTTTCCGCCGGTGAACAGGAATTCCGTACGACAATTTTTTGTATGCGGCGAGCCAACATTTCTCTCCTTATTAGTCTGCTCACTGGGGAAATCGCTTTCTGATCGTATAAAGGCCTTGTCGTGAAGATGATGCTTCACGATTTCGCGCAGAAAACTTCATGAGATATCCATTCATTTAGTCATTTTGAGCTCAGAATGAACTTCGCTGCTACGCAGACCTTCGCCCTGCTTCATTGAAACTCCCACTAAATATAATCGTAGGCATTTTAGGATTACCACTCCTATCTGTAATTGTTCCCAACTCCCGAAAGCGTCTTATGGTTGAATGGACCCCCTGCCTCGTTTCGCTGAGTCGTCTTTAGATGCACCGTGCCAAACGTGCTTGTAAATGCAGAGTGATGATTTCTTCACGGGGTAATTACGCTTACATTATTTTCATAATCTACCAAAAGTTTAGTATCATCAGGAAGGTAATAATGTAATCTACCTTATGAAATAGAAGAAAGCGAACGAATTGCTATGACCTTAGAAAAAATTCGTTATGAGCGTCAGCGCGCGCTGTAATCACAATTTTGGCCCACCCTGTATATACGTATATATATTGGCTGAATGCCGTGGACCAAGCGCAACTCGTATGCCCCACTGAACAGCGACGTTTGTCAAAGACCGTGGCTGACCCGCCGCATGCGACGGTTGCGGCATGACCCAGTTTCGATGGACGCGCGCAACGAAGCGCACCCAATATATACACATCGACTTATGAGACATTGATAGCTGTTATCATCAGTGAGGTGCATATCGTTGCAATTGACCGAAATATTGACGGAATCGTAAACAATGCCTTGTATTTATTTTTATATTACAAGAAGCTCGTGTCTGCGGCCAATATGGTTTCCGGTCAACTCAGAGCCCCCTAGTTGGATAAGCATTTGTAGCGAACAAATGATTACTGTATAGAAGTACAGGCTACTTTGGGTTGTACTTTGTGTAGTGGAGTGATTACCACTGTCGCTTAAAACAGCGACATCATGTACTTAAGTAGTTGGCAACTCACTAAAGCTGTCTGGAAAGTCAAAGCACAAAGATGTTGTGCCGGCCTATCCCCATGCCATTCTAAAGACCATATAGGTACTTGAACATTGCAGAAATAATATTGAAAGCGGAGGTGATTAAATAACTCTTCTTGAATTTCAACTACAGAAGAAAGAGTTGTAGTACAGAAAAAACTGCAGGGTGGCCTTGTTCGCATTTTTCATATTCGTAACTTCAAAGAAAGGAACAGAAGCACCAGAACAACCTATAGGCGGGAAGGAGAATCGAAAGAAAAGCTTTTTTAGATGAAAAGCGATGAAGTGGTGCCTCCTAAGCCGTACCTTCTACTTTCGAGACAGAGATGGTAAACTAATAAGCATTTATCAGAAAGAGCATTTACCGAGAGCAAGCATTCAATGGGCCACATCTCCGCAGGGTTAGATTTTCTGCTCATCAAATCCGATTAACAGGCAATTTAGACACAGTGATCTGATTTCTATACACAGAACAATTAGCAGTGAGTGCAAGTGAGTAACATCTTCGGTCCCATCATACGTCACAGTGTCAACCAAGACGCTATGACTCCTCTGAAAAAATGAGGTCGTAACTGATCCAGTGGCTCGCCTTTCAGGGGTCTTTACCCGTCATTATTAGCACTTATCACTCTCAGTCAGCGGTCACATAACATCCCGTCATATCCCACATCATCCTGCAAAGTAACAGAAGAAAACCTCATGAGACTCGACCTCACAAATGATGCCAGGCACAGCGAAAGTTTTCAGGAGATGCCTAAAGCCTTTTCCGGTGGACAACGTGAGACCACAAAAGCGGAGCGTGAGTTCAACTTCTGAAATGCCGCACGGGAAAAATATGGGTCAAACCATTGGGGTCAAAATTCTTCTTATGTACGAAGTTCTGTCTTCACATTTAGGTGAAGACCGAATCGGAACTCGGTCAACTGGCCGAAATTCCTTCAGACAAATAAGCGTCAAATTTCCACCGACTTCATAGCTATCCATAACGACTACTACACCTCGATTTGAATACTGAAAAGGGTTATGGAACCACTTTCCCATTTATTTCCACTAGCAGTTAGCGGGTAAAGGGTTCAAGCACGGAAAAATATCAGCCCATGAAGGAAACCTTCTGAAAAGGTCGCACGTGGGCTTAGCAGGTGCGGCGAGTCCTTTTTCGGTAGCATAATTTTGCCGCTGCTCTATCGATGCTTTGGTATATCGTTACCTTTGACGAAATTCAGCACATCTCATCGAACCAAAGATTAATTGTTCGAAAAGTACCCGAGTTACAGAAAAATTACATTTACAATAACATTAAGCGTGAAAAAATAAGAAAAAAAAACGATTTTGTTCTACTGCAGTTCGACAAATGTAAGAATTCCGTAGCGGAAGGAAATTCAGCGGTATTCACGTATCATATATTACTTTCGCCGCAGGTATGCCAACTTTATCAATAAAAACTTTGTTGATCGAAGAAGACAGCCTAAGATTCGAGAGTCGCCGTCGTCTTTTCAACTGCTCTGGCGGCCCCAAGGTTCCTAGCCTTCGGAGACGAGAGGCGTTAGTGCGCAGCTCATGTCCAAAAAAGAGCTGATATTCGCAAGTAATCGTACAGGTCAAGAAAGATCAGCCTAAAATTTTCCCTGATGATAAACGTGACACAAATCCTTTCTTCTTCATAGCCTGCCCTTCTGATCACCTCCGCCTAATACAGTAGCGCTCAAAAGTACTCGGCCAACTTAAACTTGCCGTAACTTTTTTCCCAGTGGAGCAAATTTGATAAAGTTTGATATGTACAGCTGAAGCATATTTTACACTGTCCAACACTACTTGACTGCAAAACAGCCATATCTACATACTAATGGGGAGGCGTTTGTAGACTGTGCTGAAAGCAAGTTTGTGACGTCTGCAGTTATTCCGACCTTATGTACGTTTTTCCTCTCTTCTGGGTTCGACATTAGTGCTCGTACACTTAAGACATGACAAAAAGGAAAGGACTCCTGGAAGAACCACCATTCGTATTTCCAGTTGATCTTTTGTTCAGACCCTTTTGGATATCTGGAACACGATTAGATTGCAGGTCAATAGTGGTAAGTATTCACACTACACCAATGCAACACATATTGAAAATTCACTTGATTAGATTCAGTAGGAAAGGAGTTATGACTGAATAGTTCTAGTGAAGAAGCATTTGGCCGAATACTTTTGAGCGCTACTGTATGTCTTCCCTTCCTTAAATTGCATATCGCACACAGTATCTCAAATGGAACCGCCCTTGAAGGCAGAGTTTGTTCCTCTTTTGCGATCAAAGAGGTCTCAACAAACTCCTTGTGTAGATCCGACAGCCCCCAAGTTGCGTATTTCATAACCATAAACTTCAAGCACATTCATTGGCATCA